TTTATTTATTTCATAGCAAATACCAAGCGTGCAGTAAACTGCAATCTTTTGAAGTTGAGTGGCATTTCTATTGTAATTAGTGAATTCGAGATAGCAACATACTTCGCCGTAATAAGCGTATTTCAAATCATTTGTTGTGTTGTTTTTTAGTGTTAGCCAAGGCGTTGTGGGTCAATGGTTCTTATTGAAATCATATCCCAATCTGATCCGATTTAAATATAATTTTAAAAAAATTACTTTTACACCAAATTCCGCCACACCTTTCATATTTCATTGAAATTGGTCGTCAGATATGTGAAATCGGCCGATAATATATATATGGGAGCTATATCCAAATATTAACTAATTTCCAATTAATTTGTCACATTTATTATTGTAACCAAATTCCGCCACACATTCTGAATTTCATTGGTATCGGTTATATATCATGTTTGGTGCGTAACATGTATGAAATCGGCCGAAATATATATGTTAGCTATATGCAAACCTCAACTGATTTCAATATAATTTGGCAATTTTTTCTGGTGCCAGATTTTATCTCTCTCGCTTTGGGTGCATCAAATATTTGAAATCGGCTGAGTATATATATGGGAGCTATAATCAAATCTGAGCGTATTTGAATATAATTTGTCAAATTTATTTTTGTACCAAATTTAGCCACTCATGCCGAATTTCATTGGAATCGGAAATACGTATCGTATTTTGTGCATCAAATATGTGAAATCGGCGGAAAATATATATGGGAGCTATTTCCAAATCTGAGCCGATTTCAATATAATTTGACTAATTTATTTTCTAATCAAAATCCCGTCACATATTCCAAATTTTTTTGGAATCGAACATACATATCGTCTGTGTTGCATAAAATACATGAAATCGGTCGAAAATATATATATAAATCTGAACCGATTTTAATATAATTTGACTAATTTATTTTCTAATCAAAATTCCGTTACATATTCCAAATTTCTTTGGAATCGAACATACATATCGTGTATGGTGCATAAAATACATGAAATCGGTCTAAAATATATATGGGAGCTATATTCAAATCTGAACCGATTTCAATTTAATTTGACAAATTCATCAGGGCTCCGAATTCCGTTACTTATTTTAAATTTCATTACAATTGGAAATACATATCGTGTTTGGCCCACCAAATACATGAAATCGGCCGAAAATGTATATGGGAGCTATATCCAAATCTGAACCGATTTCAATATAATTTGGGAAATCAATTTTTTAGATAAAATCTATCACACGTTTCAAATTTCATTGAAATTGGGGATACATAGCGTGTTTGGTGCATCAAATGCTTGAAATCGGCCGAAAATATATATGGGAGCTATATCCAAATCTGAACCGATTTCAATATAATTTGACAAATTTATTTTCTGGTTAAATCCCGTCACACATTCCAAATTTCATTGGAATCGAACATTCATATTGTGTTTGAGGCATCAAATGAACGAAATCGGTCGAAAATATATATGGGAGCTATATCCAAATCTGAACCGATGACAATATATTTTGGCAAACTTATTTTTGTTCCAAATTCCGTTACGTATTCCAAATTTGGAGACTGTATCTTCAACCAATCAATAGATATGTGCATATAAAATCTAAATTTTTGGGAGGTACCTCCGATTCTGATGCTATATCTCCAGTTCCAAGTGGAAATTCAAAAATGTTTATAGCCTATGTTACTTTCAGGCGATGTTGCAGTATATATGGAAATTTTCAGGAAAATCTATTCAGCGGTTTTCGAGTCCATAAATTACAAACAAACAAACAAACAAACAAACAAACAAACAAACATACAAACATTTTCCTCTTTTATAGATATAGATTTGTTGGTTTAAAAACATAAGAAAAATTCAAAAAATTAAAAAAACGTAATTATTGTAATTCTTTTATGCTTAAACAAACAAATAGCTCGGTCTACCAACGCGTGAACATTCCAGGAACAGCTGACCATGAGAAAAGTAGGAACATGCCAAATTTAGTCTGCATACGCGAATGGTTTGTCCTTCGGATTGATTAATTTCATAGCAAATGCCAAGCGCGCAGGAAACTCCAATGGTTTGGAGTTGAGTGGCATTTCTGTTACAATAAAAGAGTTCGATACTTCCTCGAAATAATCGTATTCTCAATTAAATTGTTGTGTGGTTGTTTACTGTTAGCCAATTACCATTGCAAAAGCGTTGTGGGTCAATGCTTCATAATAAAATCATATCCAATATAAACCGATTTCAATATAATTTGACAAAATTTACTTTTACACCCAATTCTATCGCACATTCCATACTTTTTTTGAAATTGGATGTACATACCATGTTTGGTGCATCAAATATGTGAAATCGGCCGAGAATATAATATAATAATAGAATATAATAATATAATTTTAATAAATTTGTCAAATTTATTATTGTAACCAAATTCCGACACACATTCTGAATTTCATTGGAATAGGACATTCATATCGTATTCAGTGCATATCATACATGAAATCGGCTGAAATATATATAGGAGCCAACCTCATCCGATTTCAATATAATTTGGCAATTTTTTTTTTGGTACCAAATTTCGTCTCTCTGTCAGAATTTCATTGGAATCGGACACACATATGGCGTTGGCTGCATCAAATATATAAAATCGGCCGAAAATATGTATGGGAGCTATATCCAAATCTGAGACGATTTGAATATTATTTGACAAACTTATTTTTGTTAGTCACTCATGCCAAATTTCGTTGGAATTGGATATACGAATCGTGTTTGGTGCATCAAATAAACGAAATCGGCCGAAAATATATATGGGATCTATATCCAAATCTGAACCGATTTCAATATAATTTGAAAAATTTATTTTTATTTCAAATTCCGTAATGCATTCCACATTTGGAGACTGTATCTGTAATCTATCAATTGATATGTGCATATAAAATTTAATTTTTTGGGAGGTACCTCCGATTCTGATGTCAAATCTCCAGTTCCAAGTGGAATTTCAAAAATGTATATAGCCTGTGTTACTTTCAGGCGATGTTTTAGTGTACTTGGAAATTTTCAGGAAAATCTGTTCAGCGGTTTTCGAGTCCATAAATTACAAACAAACAAACATACAAACATTTTCCTCTTTTATAGATATAGATTAGAAGGAAATACCCAATTACAGGAAAATATATATGGGTATTACATTAAATTCTAAAGTGATTTCGACAAATGTAAATGTAAAATGTTAGACAATATGTTATATCTTTACCGAATGTCATTGTCATGGAGCGCATTTTACAACGTATACATGTATCAAAATCAGTCATAGTGTTGGAAATATTATGAACTCATGCACAATTCACGTGAAATCTGGCAAAATGGCTACATCTAAAATTTCAGATAATTAAGCTCATCTCGAAAGAGAAATAGAGAAATAAATCATAATCATAAGAGCTTAACCATAACGTGGCGCAACTAAAAAAATACATGTGACCTGTAACTTGCTGACAAAGATACATGGCCAGATGGACTGACATGCATAAATCGACCCATGTTACAAACAAATGCCCAAATTCATATAATAGTCAGGCTTAATTAAGAGTTAAAAGAATAAAGAGGGTTTCTTACATAAAGAGGAAATAATCAAATTAAGTTATTATTTTTTCCCTTAAAAAATCAGCTTTAAGAAAATTCTTTAATTTTTATATTTACAAGAATGTAAACTTCAATGGAATATATAATTTTTCTCACCTTATTATATACAAAGAGACAGCTGAAATCGTCATTGAAGCTTATTTAAGTTAGTTGTTATGTATAGTTGCAATAATCGTATTCATTTGAGTTGAATTCAAAAAAAAAAAAAAAAAATGCCGACTATTGGTATATGCAGAGAATTTAAGTATATAATTGCCGACTGCAGCAAATCTTATTGGGAAACTGCGAATGGTGGGGAAGGAAGAATACGTAATTAAATTAGGGTTCAATTGTAAAATAAATTGTGTGTTTCCTTATTATCCGGAATAGTTTGTCTTTGTTTACATTAAATAGAATTTTCTTCACTAAGCTATTCTTATTAAGTTTTTGCGGAAATTTATAACAAAGCTTTAATGTTATTATTGGGAATTCAATCTCAGCTTTCAATTTCACTTGCTTCCAAACAAACAAGAAATGGGTCAATTGTTATGTGGACTAGGAGCAATGAACTGGAGGGGTGAAGATTTACACAAGTTTACATACACACATAACCAGAAATAAATAAAAATATTGTATTCGTTCTCCGCAATTTAACATTTCAAAAACAACTGACGGCTATAGCAAGTGTCAAGATTTCCATTTTTTTAAACCGAAGAAAAAAACACAACAAATTGTTTTGTTATATTATCGTACGACCACATTAAATCGATTATATTTTTTTATGTACAAACCTACATACTTATGAATATACATTTCTACATAGATATGTTTTTATTAAATAGTTTTTAATGAGGCTTCAAGAATTACAACAGCAACAACAAATTTGACGAGTTTAAATTATCAGAATTAATTTTCATATCAAACAGCTGACTAGTTAATAATGCTTTGGAATGTTTCCGTAGTTTGTTTATTTTTTATATTTACATAAATTGGTTACTTTTTGGGATATTGGAATACTATTCACAGTGCAATGCCACACGCGCTTTAAATCATTTAATTACTTCTGAAGCAGCGTACGTAATTCGAAACCGGTTTTAAATGCACTTCTACTTGGACCAGTCATTGTCGAAACATAACAAACTTCAAATCACGTTTATTGGTTAACTGAGATTAAGTAGGAAACACACACACAAAACGGAACACTGGCTAAAACTGAATGGCCAAATTGTTCTCTTTGGTCAATACATTTTCTTATAGAGACAGAGCGCTCTCTGTGTCTTAAAAAGAGAGTTTAAAACTCACAACATAGCTATCTCAACTACCAATCTTGAGAATTGGTGGTAATGCCATATATTTTGATGTAACTTCACTCACTTTGATTAGAATGCAGAAGACAAGAGGTAGAGTAGTTCGGCGAATGTTGGTTTTTAGAGTAATATCACGTTATAAATTCGTTTTTGTCTTTCTTTGGTAAACCTTCATTTGATTCGAAAAGGTTCGCTCGTTCGGACGAAAGGTTTTGCTTTGTTTGGCAAGAGGAACGGAAGAAAGCAACCTTACCGATCGAGAGTATTAAGCACTTTGCTATTTCTTTTGACAAAAGAAAACATGGAAGTGTTGTTCTACGTCGCTGCTTCACTTCACAGTACAGACGATCACCAACAATCAACAACAACAATCGGCAGCTAATATACTAAAATGTGTATGTGTTGACGGTAGTATAAAAACAAATAGCAGTTGGTCATTGAATTGTGACGATGAAATTAAAAAAAAAAAAGAAATGAAAACAACTAGACACATTTTAAATGTGATAAGGGCAACATAAATTTTGTTGTTCGTGTCTTATGAATATTCTCAGATGGGATGGCAAAGGCCGAGGGAGTTAATAATTACATTTTATTGAGGGGAAAAATTGAGAAGAGTTTAGGAATTTCCGAAGAATCGTAACAAAAATTGACATTCTACGTCATTATACAGCAACACTTAAAACAAAAATTGTATCAATTTTAAAAATTAAAATGTGTTAAAAAATTGCGTACCCATTAACATAACATTGCGTACCCATTAACATAACAATGGAAAATACCCTCTCACATACCACAGAAGTTAGTCCTATAGTTAATGAAGCAATCGGTCCATTTTTTTTATACCATACAATACTATGTGTTGGGGTATTATAAGTTTGATTGGGCCAAAAATTATGTAACATCTCGAAATATTGGTTTCCCACATAGGAAAGTATATATGGATCTTCCTATCTCGCCGAGCTGAGTCGATCTAGCTATGTGTGTCCGTCCGTCCGTCTGTCAATGTTAATTTATAATCACTCTACAGGTCGCAATTATCTTCACGAAATTTAGAATGGAGGTGGGGCTAGGGCCAGAATAGAAGCCTATTGCTTTTGGAGATGATCGAATAATATTTAGTGGTTGAAATTGACCAAAAACTGAAAATTTTCCTGATTTTGCAGTTGCTCTACAGGTCGCACTTATAGACCAATCGACGCGGAATTTAGCATGGGCTGCGCAGAAGTCTTCCAATTTTGATGGTCATTGGGTAATATTTAGTGGGTCGAATAGATCATAACATTTGTGTTAAATAAAAGTCAAATTTCCCATTAAACCGCAAATATTTTTAATCCCTGCGAAATCACAAATAAACGAACAGGTCAATTCTGACCGTTACGTAGATGCCAATAGCAAATATATCAGATATATATATAGCGAAATATATACAATATGTATATCCAAAGAAGGGGATGTTAGCTAGAACGTTTATATTTCAAGAATGGCTGGACCGATTTTGACATATTTTGTCAATTCAGAATGCCCTCTTGGCAAAAAGAATAAAATCTAAAAAATCGCATAAAAGATGCCCATAATGATGTTATTTTTTCATATTTTTTATCACATGCAATTTTTTCAATTTGACTTAAAATATTGAAGTGTATATTTTGTAATATTTTTTTCACCTTGCAACACAGGTTGGGGCATGGTACAATGATATCAAGGTAGGGCAGAACTACCATATGATTTTAATTTTTTTTATTTTCTTGGCTTAATATGTCATCTTTATTTGTTTATGTATGTGTTTTCTTTTCAATAACAAAAAAATTGTTCAGCAAACATTCAAATTCGGGTGTTTTCAAAATGTTTATTTCAACGTATGCATCGACAAAATCTAGAGTTTTTGTAGCGAAATAATCCTTTAGAGATATATAGTACATGATTTTGAAAAGAAGTGTTGACATTTCATTCAATTATCGCGGTTTTCAATTATTTATTCAAAATAAATGCAACAAGTTGTTTGATTTTTTATTGTTTTGATACTAATTCTGACATTACACGCCAAACAGGTAGACCTCTATACTTGCAATTTTTTCAAAGTTGACCTACCTTCTCTTCATTGTACCATGGGTTGGGGTTATTATATACAGATTGCAATTATCGTCCGATCCTCACGAAAATTTTCACAAGGGTAGGGTTAGGCTCAGAAGGGCTAAGCCTATTGTTTTCAAAGATGTCCACAATATATTTAGGGGTTGAAATGGACCAACAACTAAAAATGTTCCAGATTTTGCAGCCGTTATAAAGGTCACAAATATAAACCAAAAGGCGCGAACATTGGCTGAGGGTATACGTCTGTCGGTTGAAATGGACCAACAACTAAAAATGTTCCAGATTTTGCAGCCGTTATAAAGGTCACAAATATAAACCAAAAGGCGCGAACATTGGCTGAGGGTATACGTCTGTCGGTAGAACCGATTGTTACTTTTTAACTTGTTTTACATCAATTGCCAAGTCGATTTCTTTTTTCAATTGCGCATATTTTTGTAAAGGGACATTTTTCTTCTTTTAAAATATTGACAATTTTTCTTGTGTAATCCATAAAATGTCATAATATTCGTATTGGAAAAATAAATAATTTTAAATAGTTTTATTCTTACCATTTATTCATAGAAACCACATTCAACGTCACTACTTCCGTTTAATACATATTTTAAGTGTATATGTATGGTATGATTCCAGTAAATAATCCTCCTATAGAACTTTCGAAAACACGTTTTTTCATGACGTTCGGCCCATCAGAGATTGTAGCTACAATGTGGTTTGCAAAACTCAATCCATGTTTCTGCAATTTTTCATTTATAATTTTTCGCATTTGGAGGAATTCAACTTTTTAGATATTTAAATCCGACCCAAATTGTGAAAATTACTTCTTCCGCTAATGTACACATTAAAATATTTTCCTTGTGATAAACTAGTCCACTCGTCCAGCAATCAAAATTCTGATTTTGGTATTTGTGAGTTATTGATTTTATAATGAAATAGCTGGTTCTGTCCGCGTTGCCGGCGCACGAATCACAGATTTGACTTATGTAAGCGGTACAATTTTTATTATTAGTAAAAAAAAAATTGTAATTTCCAAATAGAAATAAATATTTATTCAAAAATTATAATAGATGTTCATTGCTTTTAAATAGTCTGATCTGGATCTTTAGCCATAGGCTTTAATTTGAGTGTATGATATGGAACATCTATAATAGCCCCATGTGAAAACTCAGCTAAATTTTTGGTATTGTAAAGAGCTCAGCAACATTTTCCATTTAAATTAGCTATGATTTGGAATTTGTATTTCCAACGTTTAGAATAATGTGCTGCGTGGTATTTAGTTTTGTCCACCTCATAATTGAGGGCAGAATGATTCTTTCTAATATTTGTAATTTTTTCATGTTTCTGCCACAATTTCCGACTGAATGAGTCCCAGTTTGACATTTCGGAGTTTATTTCATATAGACGTACATCCCAAATCTACGTTCCCAGCCAATATTCTCTTGGGGGTTGTAAATTCAATAGAATGCAACATTTTCTGTTCTTGCCACTCATTGGTTATGAAAGTGGACTTGGGGGTACACTAATGTGGTGACAATTGTTAAATAAATGCCGATGAGGACGATTATCTGTAAGATGGTTCTATACCCAAGAGTATCTTAAATACAATTTTTTAGCCAAATCAATTGATGAATGTGGTCAAGACCAAGATGGACCCTACTTCGAAAATTGAAAATTTTATGAGGAGAAGTTTTCTACCCTCTTAGAAACAAAGATGCCGAATAAAAGAAAGAAAAATGAAAAACACCCCAAAAATAGCTTCAATCATTTGATCCAAACCATGATCATATTTTGCAAGGATATTTTTTCTCAAATTACCAACATTTGCCGAAATTAGTATGAAAAATATGGTTAAATTGTAAAATATACTTAAAATACTGCAAAACGATTTAAGATTTATCTTGAAAGTTTAGGAATAATTTCTGGTATAATATAAATCCTTTTCTTACGTAATGTAAAATTCTCTCTACCATTTTTGCACTCACTCTTTTGAGTTCTGGACGGATTATTGTCATATGAAAGAAGTAGGTTCACGTTTTGAAATGAGCCACATAACGCTTTGTCGGTCATTTTTATTTCTTAAAAAGCGTTTGTATCTTCCAGCTGAAGCACGATGTAGGTCCTGGAATTAAAAGCTAGATGCAAATTTTAGACATGAAAGATCGCCATATAACATCCTATTGCGCACTCATTTCCTTTTTTATATTATTCAGTCAGAATGCAAAACAATAACAAATGTACTACTCAATATAGTATGTCAAGATACCATTCCGAAATTGTATGAATTGTCAAAATCCATCAAGTTAGCGTAATAACTCCAAAATCCAAAAGTTAGTTAGCGTAATAACTAACATAACTTTCATTTATATAGTGAAAATAATTCTTTATTTTGTATACTCTTCTGAAATGATATAGTTACACAATAAAAACATAAAATCTATAAATAGCAGTTTTATCTGTTGTCGTTTTGTACTACCCTAAAAAGACTACACATCACATTAGATTTCAAAAATAAAAAAACTACAAATGTACATTCGAAAACAGTAATTCAATGGAAAAAATCATGCAATATAAAACATTGCTATTGTACATTTCAAAAGTCAAAATGAAAATGTTCAAATTTCACATTTTTACGCTATTATTTTGGCTTTTATCCTTTTCTGCCAAGAGACAATTCCGAATTTGTCTGAACCGTTAAAATCAGACCAGCGGTTTTTGAGTTATAAGCGTAGTAACTAATACAATATTCTTTTATATATATAGATTTGCGTTGAAGTTTTTATTTATAAATTTTTATTTACTTAACCTAAAAGTACGACACATCGTTTTGTTGATATGTATATAAATATTTAGAAATAATATTTCCCCGGGAATTTCAGACCCCAAACTCTACACATGAGACAATCAGACGAAAATTGTAAGAATTCGTTTGGATAAATTCAAGCTCTCCACAGGCAATGACTTCAAATAAAATTAAATATTTCCGGTAAAATATTAAAAGTAACGATACCTTTTTTAATGGCTTATGTCGAAACGTAAACCGATTTTCCTAAAGCAAGTTTTGATTCAATGACAACCCAATATGCCATATGAAAAGTATAAATCCCTTAACAACCTGAAATGCCAAATAAATAATTGGTAGGCAAATATCGTGAGTTCTGTTATAAATATTTATTCAATATAACAAACACTTAATTTTTAAGTAA